TTTCCTCTGAGGTTTTTTTTTATGTTGTGTATTAAAATCAGTGGCTTCCAGCTTACTTGTAGTATTTTATATAAATTTTTTTGTCTTGTAAAATGTAAATAAAAACATTATTTGTGTCAAATAATGAGACTAAGGCCTATTTAAATTTACAATTTTTAACTATTGAAAGAAAAAATTCTCAATTTTAATTTGATGCCAGAACACAATTGAAAAAATTTGGTAAATCGAAAAGTTGTTAGCGCAACAGAGAACTTAAAAAAATATCCAAAAGTGGATAAAAGCACCAGAATTTGCAGGGAAAAATACTTTCCTTTTGAATTTTGATTTTTAATGCTTTAAACTGTAGTAAAGTAAATCAAGGTAATTGCATTAACATATATGTTATTGGCTGCTCCAGTGGCCCACTCACAGGTGCAGCTGCACAGTGCACTGCGCATTGAGAAATTCCTCTTGTACTCCTTTGATATCTCTAGGTTTGCATCTGGTGTCAATTTATTCCTGTGTGATTGAAAGAATGTCATGTATGTGATGCATGAAGGCTCGTTTACTCTTCACTCAGCTCTTTCATGCTTGCACAAACCAATTTTTTTTTAATCACTTATTCAATTGACGAATCCTGGAAATTGGGTAAGAGACATTATATTGGTGGATCAAGTTAATGAGGTTAGTTATCTAACTCTAAACCCTAAGAAGACTCCCACCTGTGATGTCACTAGTGTCAGCTGATCTACTGTGGGAACTTGTAAATTAAATTTTCTATCCAGATGTTCTGTGTTCTGCGCGGTCCATAAATAGTCTGCAATGTATTTAGTCCTTTTTTACTCGACTGCGCTTTTACACAGCAAATTGCATCCACAGACATATTTTAAAGTCTTGCACACACATAAACCCAGATGGATATTTGAGGTGTGTCTTGCACAAGGACACTGGGATGCAGGAGCTGGGGGATTTTGCCACTGACCCAATGAATAGTTGACATCCTGCTATAAATCCTGAGCCACCACAAACAACAAGAATTTCTTGGGAAGGGGGGGGCATGGCATACGTGAAGATTTGGTAAACAGTGAGGAATGTAAAAATGAAATAGTATTACTTAATATTGTACCACATACCCAGTTACCAAATTATATATTAACAAACAAAAAAAACTTCTGAGTAAATTCAAAAGATGATTTTTCTTAATTGTATCCACTTGTGAATGATTTTTCCCATAATGTTAATGTATTTACTGCACTAATGTGCAGTAAATACATTACTCAAAGGTCACACCTTGTGGAACTAATTAGGTTAATTGAAACAAGTCAGAGAAGAAAGTGTTTTTGAGCATTTCAAATGTCAACATGGGAGGGTTTCCCAGCTTTGTGAAAGGCCAATAATTAGGCAATTTTAAAATAGCATTTCTCTTAGCGAATTCCAGGAATTCTTTACTTTTTAAACTAACTTAGTTACAAAATATGGCCTGGCCAAAACCCAGTTGTGAATGGACGTGATCTACAGGCCCTCGGGAGAAAGAACTCTGCATTAAAAACAGACACAATAAACTTCTGAAAAGCTTTGCCAGTAAATATAGTTTGTGGCAGTATCCACAAATGCAAGTTAAAATTGTACCAAGCAAAGAAAAAAATATATATAAACAAGATCCAGAAATGCTGGCGCCTTCTCTGGGCCCAAGCTCATTTATGATGGAATGAGGCAAAGTAGAAAACGGTCCTGTGGTTTGACCAATTAAAATTTGATTTTTTGTATTTTTTTTTTTAATCATGGACACAGCACTATGCAGGGTAAAGATGAGAGGGAATGATTGTTATATTGGATAGTTCAAAAGCAAACATCTGTGATGGTATTCTGACATATTTTTCAATGAAGATTGTGCTTATTTCAGGAACACGATGCCAAACCAGATTCTGCACGTACTACAACAGCATGGCTCCATTGTAAAAGACTCCAGGTGCTTAGCTTACATGCCTGCAACCCAGACTTCTCACTCACTGAAAACACTCGGTGCATGACGAAATGAGTAATATAACATAGTAGGCCTTAAACCTTTGAGGAGCTGAATCTTATATCAAGCAAAGAATGTTTTTGAAACTACAGCAGTTGCTCTCCTCAGTTCCCAACAGCGTTGTTAAGAGTGTTGTTAAAAGAAGAGGAAATGCAACACAGTGGGAAACATGCCGGCGCCCCAGGTTATTGCATTTAACAAAAACTAAAGTAAAGCAACTTGTAAAATAATTAAACCATGGGTAACTAAAAAAAATTATTTAAAAAGACAACTCAAACAATATTGTGCACTAACAAAAATAATATAGAGAAAAAGTGCTTTAGTTCTCATTAATTTGGCCAAATGTACCAACCCAATTAACCTCAGACAACATTAATATCTATACAGAACTTCTTATATTTAGCTCTTTACAAAAAGATTATTCACATTAAAATTATAAAAAAAAGAAAGTAAAACTAATACTGGAGCCAATAAAACAACAAAGCAATTATAACTTTGCTCTGCCCCAGCTTTTCTTAAGGATGTCCATGAAGTCCATGCTATGTTCTGTTTCTGTTTTCTTTATATTGAAGGTAGGACTTAAATTAGACACAGCACTGAATGGCCCCTGGGCCACTTCATGCCTGTTGGTTGCCTCTGATTACCCCTGTTATGTCATTGAGAAATAAGGTGCAAATTTTCAGCCAGTTTGATACACTCCCTATCAGAGAATAGTTTACTATTTTATTTTTGCAGTTTTGTGGGAAATCACAAAAAAACTTATATTTTGAAGCCAAATGCAGATTTTTAACATTTATTTTTTGAATTTATATAAGCACTGTGAATGGAGTTTTACTGTAAATACATTGAAACTGAAAGACCTGAAAGATTAAAAAAGAGTTTTTAAATTAGACATAACACTTAAAAGTATTTATTTATTAAAGTCAGATGTAAAGCCCTATTCGTAGTTTGTGTTTTGCAAACCTTAGTTTAAGGATTGTTTTAATCACCATTATAAAATTAAACTTGCAGAGAAATACCAGAACTTCACTGATGTAGAGTGGAACCTTTGCTAGCAAGCTTTCCGGGCTCCACACATCCAAGGATGGAAAAGTCTAGATGAGCTTTGTGATTTCACGCAAATGTCATATCTGTGATAGAGCTCAATCGGAGGAACTGGCAGATATTCATTCAACGAAAGGGACTATGAGCAGGAATTCACACCAGCAGCTAATTTAGAATAACTAATTAACCTAACACACATTTTTGGAGTTTGTACTATTATTATGGAGATATGTGGAGTTTGGAGTTTGTGGGTGCAAAAGGTCCCAGCCAGGCAGACCTAGAACTATCTTGCTGTAGGCAACAATGCCAACCACAGCGCCACTGGTCATGATTTAACAAAATAGCTGCAAAGTCACTGTTATGGTGGCTAACCAGCTTGCATCTCTAAACTGTTTGGAATGGTAGCATGCCCATGTTAGAACCATAGCATTTTATGTTAGGATTAAACTCAATGACATGAACTTCCCCCACATCCAACAGTTTACTGCCCTCAGTATAAAAACTAGTGTGTCCATATGTGTACTTGAAAATTTAAAAACTGTTCTGCGGTCTTTGCCTACTCTTTCTTCCTCTAACTCTTTTAAGAATTCTTATTCAGAAATTTTCAAATTAGCATGCTTACTTCCTACTATTTGTATTCAGTACTGAAATTCATTTACAATAAGAAATATCATATTTACCAGGTCACGAAGCAGAGAATGGGTCTGCTGAACATTTATTGTGTGGTGTGACGTACTCATGAGTGTAAGCCACAGTTAACATTGAGTCAGATGTTTTGGATTAAACACGACGTTCACATTATAAGAAAATACCTTCGGTTTTATTCAAATCCTGTTTTAATTCAAACTGTCTTTGTTTTGTACTCAAAGATACACAGAGAAAAAACAAAGCTGTTTATCTCATACTATCTAAAAAATCTGGGTTGTATAAAGAAGATTAAAGTGAAATCTGGATTTTGTGTGACAATGATTGATCAAGGCCAAAGTTTTCACACGGACATGGTTCTACTGGAAAGATTTTAATTTCTTTCACCAATATTTCTACTTTGGAGGTACTTTGTGATGAAGCATAGCCATTTTTAATTGATTTAGCAGAATGATATTTGATCATCGGGTCTTAGAAAATGTAGCTACTTAGTTTGATAGTTTAGAAAACGAGTTCTTTAGGGATAGAGCGTCTTGTTGTTTCAGAAAAAAGGGGGAAAGTCTTCCAAGTCTTTCCTGGAACGCTTCCCATCTGTTATCCTCAGGTTCCCTCATCTTTCATCTAAGATCTAAGAGTTTAGTTAAGGTATGTTACGTCTTGAACCACTTCCATCTTAAATCAGCACATTGCCTCTCACTGTCTCAGAGGGGCGTAGAAAGAAGACTGGAAAGACACACACACACACACATAATCCCTGAAACTCTGCATCCAATTTGGAGGAGGACATGAATGAAAAGGCCTATTCTGAAATCTATCCGCTGGCTGATAATGATGCACTTCTGTCTGCAGATGCCAGCAAAAACACATGTTATCTTTCTTCACCACTTGAATACAGTAATTGAGAAAAGTAGTGCTTGTAGGCAAAGATAGTAAAAAAAATGACGGGGTTTGACATACTTTGTTGAAACATACTGCATAGTATATACTAGACAAAAACATACTGCCATTTAAAAACTGTACTTGAAATTATACTTAACTCTTCCAGTATTTCCAAGAAATAATGGCGCTAATTTAATTATCAAGGCAACAGTGCAATTCCATAGCATAACCTCCACCCCAATTTTTCCATGACCACCACACCACAATAGTAAACATCAAGCCAGACTGCATGGCTGTACTAATGATAAGGCGTGACGCAGTAAAGGAAAACAAGGCTGTTAAAAAGCAGATGTCCATACTAGTTCACACATGGTATTGATATTTGCATAGCTGGAGGTGATATGTTGATGTGTAGATAGTGGAAAATATATGTGCACTAATGAGACAGAGTGGCTGGGGCCACAGGGGCTACAGCCTCAGAGAGAGGGGATTTACTCTATACCGACAACATTTTCCACTTATTCTGAGAAACACACGGGCAGCGTGAGCAAGGGAGGAAGCATCATCTCAGATCGGCCAACTGGTAGGTATACTGCACCTACCTTACATTTAAAAAGTGGAGCAGGAAGAATGAGATCTGTCTGAAGTTAATACAGCAGCGTAAGTCAGTGTTAGTTGCCAATCATTTCCACAACGATCAGTGTTGTTAAGACTTCTTATTACCTTTTCAACTACATAATTTCTCCCCGTTTTTCCTGGGTTTTTCAGAATGATCATGTGGACATTGGTGCTCCTCACAATAGGAATAGTGGATTTGGGTATTGGCCAACACTACAGCCAGATCCAGTGGCTGTCCCACCTGCGCAGGCGACAATGGCACGCTGGTTTGCAGGCTGAGGATGCAAATTGCCCCCTGGAGTGTAATTGCCCCTCAGTCTACCCCACAGCCATGTACTGTCATAGCCGCAACCTTCAGCATGTTCCCTATGTCCCCTCGCATATAAAATATGTCTACCTGCAGCATAACCAGATCACAGGCATCCAGGATGGGGTGTTTGATAACGCTACCGACTTGGTCTGGATTGTGTTATTTCACAACAAGCTCAGCTCAGACAAAATCGGCAAGAACGTCTTCAGCAAGCTCAAGAACTTGGATCGGCTCCTCTTGGATCACAATGACCTAACACACGTGCCTCCTAACTTGCCCACTTCAATCACAGACCTGCGACTTGGGCACAACAAGATATCAAAAGTCCTTGCCAGCTCATTCAAGGGGATGACCAACCTCACCACCCTTCATCTCCAAGCAAATGCCATAGAAGACGTTGGAGGTGTGTTCAAGGGGTTCAAGTCTCTGACAATGCTGGATATCAGGAAAAACAAGCTAAGGAAAATCCCTGACAACCTCCCTGTGAGGGTGCAGCAGCTATACCTGGAATTTAATAATATAGAAAGCATTCCAGCAGATTTTCTCACCATGTATCCCAAACTGCAGTTTGTCCGCTTAGCTCATAACAAGCTGACTAATGAAGGACTTCCTTCCAATGTCTTCAATATCAGCACGTTGGTCGAGCTTGACCTGTCCTTCAATAAACTGGAAAAGATTCCTGTTGTCAGCATGAACCTGGAGAACCTTTACTTGCAAGGCAATAAGATTAAAGGTATGAGGACTTCTATTACTTTAAATTAGATAATGCCTTGAAATATTTTATGGGCACAGAAAGACAAAAAGGTTAAAAATAAGCAAAGAAGAGTAATGTGATTACATACACCCTCAGTGCAGAACTAATTTCCTGAATGTTGCAGGCTGTCTTTATGTAAGACTCGGAGCTCTCCAGTAGTTTAGTGATTTTACTCAGTGAGACACACACGATGCCACTCATGCATATAAAGCGAGTGATAATACAGAAATCTTGAAGACTTTAGATGTAATGTTTAAAAGGACTGTGCTTTGTCCAAATATGGTTTGTTAGTCAATTTGTTATGCTCCAGGATGCCTCCAGTGGTGTAATCCTCTCCCATTGCTTGGTTGATAAAGACTCATGCTAGTTATCCTGTATGCTTCTTAGCTATATTACTCAACTTCATTCAAACGGTCATCCAGCTTGTATGTATATATCCACAAATGTGTTTATTTGGCTTATCAACTTCCTAAAATTTAATTTTTTTCCCCCAATCTTTAAATAAGAATCATTTAATGTCTGCATGTGATGTTCGGGATCGGAGCTGCACATGCAGCAAAGAGAACATTTCAACCACTAGATGACAGCAAAAGCAAGATTTTCAAACTGTTTACCAGTTATTTAAATTATTCCCTTGAAGCAGGGATTTTCCACGAACTGTCTCTCAGTCATGGTAGAAACTTTACGAAACACCAGATATCCTCACACTAGAGCTCTCAACAGAAAACAATGCAGGTTTTTTTTTTTTGACAAACTCCAGAAAATAACTCTTTACTGACTCCATTTAAAGAAAAGTTTAGAGAAGATCTGCCCCTTCTGACACAGTCATACATTTTGGAGTTTGCACGGACTAATATGCATAGGTATATGTAGCAATTAGCTTGGTTTGGTAACACTTGTGGTGAACAGACATCATCAAGACATCATTTTCTGCTTCACATCTCAAAAGATGAGAGTAACCTATTTTCTCGCCCCTTTCCTCTTTCAGAGTTCTCCCTGAGCAGTTTCTGCAGTGCTGTTGACATGTCAAACTTCTCCAGGCTGAAGATGCTCCGTCTCGATGCTAATGAGATCAGTGCCAAAGACATTCCTGCTGAAGCCGCCTACTGTTTGCGGCATGTTGCTTTCATTGATGTGTAGAGGTTTCCGAAATGTCTCTATCTGTAACACATGCCATGCTATTATGCTTCATTGCATTTTCCTTATATTACTCACTCTCCTCTTCATTAAAACATGATTGCATAATGTTTGTTTAAGCTGTTATGAAAGCTGTTAGCATTATTGAAATTATAAAACTAACCAAAAGGAAATACCATAGTTTTACAATCACATATCCGGGTGGCAGACATGTGGATGACAAAGAGTGAAGAGATCTGGTCTAATGAGTTACATCCGCTCAACTAATTAATTGGTTCCAGTTGTCTGGTAAAATGGTTAGTAATAATAGTGCTCAGGTATAATAGGAATATAATATAATATAAAATATAATATGAAACTGCCAGCCATTGGATTTTTGCCTCCATCATGTGGCACCTGGTGGAAGGGAGCAGTAATTATCATCAATATGTTTTTGTGAACATTTTAAAATTATAATCAGTGATGCACACTGAGTAAAGCATTTACACTTTGTCTTCTGGTTATTCAGTCCATAGGACAATTTTGATTTTCTCCCTGTTCACATTTAACATGTGAAATTGTCTGGTTAAGTGTGTCTCTAATTAAATATGTATTCTACTTCAAATGAGCCGTGACTGTTATGTCTCACTGTTATCTAATTGTTTACTTCAGTTCACACAGTGACTTTTCAAGACCCTATTGGGCCACGTGACCCATCAGTTTTTGACAACAAGTTAATTTGGTTTCCTCTAATTTGAAGGTAAGAAGCAGATGAGCTGGGAAAGAGGACTGTCAAAAGGTATCTCCACTTCTTCTAACTGATCTTAAGCAGTTCCCACATATTTATTGTTGAAGACAACTTGCCTTTTCATCTTCAACAGCTGCCTTTAATCCCTTGCAGAAAGGCACTAAATTGAATTAGAGAAATGCTTTACTTGTTTTGTAATGGTGCAGTGTCTTGGGATAAAGTATGGATCACTGCCATGCAACGGTGGTTTGCACTCTGATAAGCGGTAGCATGTGAAATTAAGTGTGTTATAGATTATGCTGTTTTGCAGGTTGCAGTTGGTACTGCAGACGATGGGTCGAAGAGCTGTGTTTTCCCTCTGTTTTCTTCAAAAATTCATTGAAAACAAAACAGAGGCCAGCTCACATGCATATGCACATCCTTCGACATGATTTACTGATTTGGTCCTCTCAAAGCCACATGCAAATGTTTCACTTTTTGGGGAATTGTCCAGTTCTTCTGAAAACCATTAAAGTATTTATTAACACAAATAAAACATTTGGCCTGACCATCATGGAGTAAATACAAGTGAATACAAGCAACTGACAGCATTAGAGAAACCCACGTGCACAAAGCCTTTATGTTTTCTCAGTATTATAACCAGTTATTTGTCATTACCATGCAGTAATGATTGTAATGCGTGCGTATGAATAAATTGTGTTATTATTCCCACTAAAATCTGTCACCTCCATATGTAATAAAACACATTTCCTTTGAAGCTGCAGCAGTGATATGCATCTATTGTAATAATTTCCTAACTATTCTCGTAACCAACAACACATTATTGTACAGAAGTCATATTGAAACTGTTTGTACAGTTTTGAAATACTTAAAAAAAACAATCACATAAAAAATCGAATTCTCTTAACAAAAGAGCAACTATGTAAAGACTTTTTAGATTGATAAACTTTGCAAGTTTTTGCAAGAGAAAAAAAATTCCAACACAAAATGTACAACAGTGGATACTATGAAGTGGCTATAAATCCTTTAATGAGAACATGACCCGCTCTTTAGATGTGAATGTACTGTGTTCAGTTATGAACTGGACAGCTGGTTAGCTAAATAAAGTTTCAGCTGGTTATCGATAGTTAACTTTTATTACCAATACAGTGATTGAATAAAGTGACGATAATAAATAATTCTTGGAAATGTTTGGCAAATAACATTAAAAACATGATGTTAACTTGTAGCAAATAGAAACACATAATTCAACATACATAACTGCTTTAAAAAACACTTTTTTTTGTGAACTTAAAAAGTTATCTGCAATAGAAAATGCATAAACATAATATACATACCACATTATTAACAATAAGTTCCATCTTTGGTCTCAGATCAAGCAAAGCTTCTTATCCAAAAGGTGTGCATGATACATTACACATATACTGACACAAAAACTCAGGTTCACAAGTGCTCTGTCTGCTGCTGCAGTGACTGCCTGGAGAGAGAAAACAATACTCAAAATACATAAAAACATAAAGACATATGTGCAGTTATACTGCTGCACATAATGCATTTGTTTAACGCATTTAAACAGCTCCAGATGATTAACTGTTAGCAATGCTTTATAGGCCAGTAGGATACTCACATTACTGTCCCTCAATTTCTATGTCCTGCAGGTCTGTGCTTTAATAAGACCACAGAAGCATGCTTTAGCGTCATTTCAGTAAAAAAACACAACATCAGTCTTTTTGCTTAATTAATCCGTATATTCTCACCTTGCGTTTGTTTGTAATCTTGATCCATAAGGGTTGTAAGTTTTCTGTATTGGGAAAAAAAAGCACATTTTTTACACATCAACATATCTGAACACATAATACAAACAGTTGGACTTGTCTTTATGGAAAACACTGCACAATCACTCACATTGCCAGCTTGTAAAATGTGACTTATTCAAAACCTTCTTCAAGAAGATGAGATGCGTGGGTTGTTTGAGGCATGCAAAGTCTTGTTCATGGTTCACTACTTTTTTCAAGAAGAATTGCATTGTGAATCATGCCGCAATTGTAGAAACTTTCACAGAACTTTAGAAGAAATGTTGTGAAGATGCACTTAGTAAGGCTACAGAAGTGTGTCTGAAAAGCTGGATGCTCATCAATTCACAATAAGAAAAAATGTCTTATGTGAGCAAATATAGGACTTACACAGTGCTATTTATTTTTATTTTAAAAGGCACTACAGCACACAACAAAGCCTCCACCACGTCTCCCAGATGTTAGACATGGTGGAGGCACCGTTGTAGTTTTGGGCTGCTTTGCTCCCTTAGGGCATTGCGTCCATTGAGGGAACAATTCCATGTGGGAACATTTAAACAGCTTTTTTTTTAGGAGAAATAGAACAACATGTATTCACTGTTGTCTTAAGTCTTTTAAACCACTTTGAGCACCATGTAACGGAGAAAAGAAGTTTCTATAAGTTACTGAAGCTCAACAGTTTGTAGCAGAGTATTTTCAGTCTTCACTGTGCTTGATTGCTCATTATGTTCAATAAAGACATGAAAAGTACAACTCTTTGTTCATTATTAGTTTACCTTTAAGATGAACTAATATCAGACCACATTTTTGTGTGTAGTCAACACAGAAATTCTCCCAATTCCAAAGGGTTCAGAGCTTTTTCTGGGAACTACAATGTCAAGTCATAAGAGATAAAATCAGTTCCACTGCTTGAAGTGGTCTTGTTAGAAGGAGGAGAATAAAGACTAACAGAAAAAGATACGTTTTTGATTAACAACCCCAAGTAATGAAACACACCAAGGTTCCTGTCAATATGCAAAACAGTTGCGAAGATTAGCTCTCACTTCCTTTTCGGCATCCTTCTAAGTATGGTCAGAAGTTCTGTTCCAGTTGTGGAGCACATTCCAAGATGACTGTCCTGGGTATATTTTTAGATATTTCATCGTGATCCACTGTGACAGTCAAATTTGGTAATTAGAAGAACATTAGAAGTTCAGCCTCCCACTTTTCAACAGACAACAAATATTTGTTCAAAGCAAAAAGAAAACAGCCAAAATGTTATTTTGCTCCCTAATGGTTAAATACCACATTTCATGCTTCCCTTTCTGAAACTTGGTATTATATGTGGCACCATGGTGCAGTGGTTGACACTACTGTGTGCATTCTCTCTCTGTGCCTTATTAGGTACTCCAGCTTTTTCCCACAGTCCAAAGACTTGCTCAGTTAATAGGTGATTCTTGGCTGTATCTGTTTTTCTGTCCTGGACTGGTTAATCCAAGGTTTAACTCAACCAAATGACATCTGGGATAGGTGTCATTTAGTGCCCCAAATGCTTTGAATTGTGGCAACTTTTCTGCTCTTTCATTTTGTAAAGGATAGCCCAGAAGCTCCTATGCAAAAAAGGCAAGTAAGGAAGCACTGAAGCACCTGTCTTTGAACTTTCCTTTACTGAATTCATCTAACTTTTTTGTGTCTACAACTGAACTTCTTTGCTTTTAGTGTGACTGATTGTGCCCATTTTTTGTGGTGTTGCTGGCATAATTTGGCATAAACCTCCTTAAACTTTGAGAAATAATGTTTTCATGAATTGCTGTATATCTGTATATCTGTGAGATAACCTAAATATTTACTTCAGTCCCCTTAGACCCAACACCATTGATTAAGAAGCTCCCTTTTTCATATGTGGTTACCACAACAGGCAGCACTGCATTTTACACTGAATAAAATGCGATCGTGGCTCAAGAGTTGGGAGTTTGCCTTGTAATCGGAAGGTTGCCGGTTCAAGCCCCGGCTTGGACAGTCTCGGTCGTTGTGTTCTTCAGCAAGACACTTCACCTGTTGGTGGTAAGAGGGCCCGATGGCGGCAGTGACCGGCAGCCTCGCTGCGCCCCTGGGTGGCTGGGGCTACAATGTAGCTTGCCATCACCAGTGGGTGGATGACTGGTTGTATAAAGTGCTTTGGTGTCCTTAGGGACTAGTAAAGTACTATACAAATACATTCTTCCTTATGCAAACCCAAAGATATGTGTCTATAAAATATGATCAGTCTTTTTAGGTAGTTGTACTTAAATCATTACTGAAAAAAACTACACTTGATCCTGGTATTTTAACCAGATTTTCATCGCAGCACAGGAAAAATGCTAGCGAAGGTTACTAATGATATTCTGATGGGCTGAGACAATGGAAAAGTCTGGGCTCTTTCCTAACTTCAGTGCATCATTTAATATGGTTGAACAAACTTTTTCCTACAAATACTAGAAGATACTGAATGTGCTGTGTCGGTTGCGATCATATTTGTCTGATAGATTACAGTTTGTATATACAAATGGAGAGTCGTGAAGTTCTACAGGATTCTTCCCACATAGCAGATATGTCTGCCCTGGTTCGGGTGTCAAGGCGGCACTGCTGGCTGACTTCTGGCATGTTAAGTGCCATGTCATCCACTTATGGGCCAGGCCTGGGTTAGATGGCACTGTTTATGTGATGGCATGCCACATCTGGCCCGATTGTGGTTTGGTTTATGTGGCCCAGGGTCATAGACCTGGCACTTCTGACTGACTGGTGACTCATGGCAGGGTGTATGTCAACCAGATGTGGCCCAGGTCTGGCAATGATGGCACTATTTATGTTCCTATTTTATTATTTTAGTTAGAAGACCCAAATCCCATGTTGCAATACTATACTGCTATGGTAGCCAACGTTTCAAATGCAGTTTTGACAGGTTTGTGAGTGTACACTTTATCCAAAACCTAGTGAAGGTTTACTCATGCTTACCACTAGGTGGCTGTAGCTCAGGACGTAACCCTACTAATCGGAAGGTTAGCGGTTTGATCCCTGGTTTCGCCAGTCTGCATGTCGAAAATGTGAATGTGTATGAATGTAGTTAGGAAACACTCGCTTTACAGAAAGTGTTTGATTGGGTGATTGTGGCATCTTGTATAGAGCAAGTACAAATACGCTATATAAGAATCAATCCATTCACTGTCTCAACAGAGTTCCGGCTTCTTACTTTTGCACTATTATGTTCTGGCACATGTTGTTATTACATGGCTTGATTAAGGTACACATTAGGCTGATATCTGGGACCAGAGCTAAAACTGTTCTAGGCCAGCACAGGACCAGCAGTGTGTCTGTAACTGGCCTTGCGCTGGCCCATGTGTGGGCCACCTCTGGCAAACCAGATCTGGGCCACCAAAGGGCCGTCATTCAAGCACATGAATGGCCAGATCTGGGCCATTGCAATTTTCGCTATGTGGGTTAGGCAACACTATTAGAAAACACTGCATTCATATCAATTGCTGCCTAATTTGTTACCCAGTTAGGTTAATCAGAAAAGCCAGACCAGATTAAAAATGTGTCTAAACAGACCCATTAAATAAATCACTTCTTTCATTTATATCATATAAAAATTAAGAAAATCCTGTGTTAGAGAAAACTAAGTAATAGAGCTGAAAACATGACATTTTACCTATAGGCTGGGTTGTTCTAATCATCAATCAAATGTCCTCAAAGTTCTCTCACAAGCCTTCAGCTAATCCAAAATTCTTACATAAAACTAGCTGATATTTTTCCCTAATATTAACTTATCTTTATTAGATACCAGTTATTGCAATGTGGGTGTAAACCAAACTATTGATGAAGCCCACACAAAGGTACAAAGAGAACATGGAAAAGCCACAAAGGCCGCAGCTGACTAAGGGTTCAAATCAGGAACCCTCTTGCCACCCCTTTTTAAAATCCAGAAATGCTATTTAAATCTTTGATCATGCGCCATCACATCTTAAAAACTTCTTGTACCCTATTATCCTAAGAGAGCACATTGTTCTCCGAATGCAGTCTTACTTAAGGTTCCCAAAAGTATAATGGAAGACAGAGCTGTAACCTGTCAGTCTCCACTCCAGTGCAAACAGCACAAACACTTGGAGAGAGACACCCTCTATACTTTTATCATTAGCTTCTAAAAGTGTGTAAAACAAATCCTTGTTAGGTTACTAGCACCACATTGCTGGAAAACAGATGTATACTTCCAGGTTATATTATTGAAGTGGCTTATGCAAAAACGGCTATTTATCAGCAAATGTTATTACAAAAAACTTTCTGTGCAAATTGGCTACAGGAGACTCCCAAACAATAATGCAGGACAGGATTGTATACACATAAAGATACAACAGCTGTATTTTCACGTATTTTACATTAAATTGATAAAGTTGAATGATACTGTGCAGAAAAATTTTGAGTATACAAGTGCTACACAAAGCTTCTATGTGTGATTCAATATCTTTTCCACCTTTCAAACTTCCACTATTACATTTTCAAATCCAATCTTACTGCTATAAATTAAAAAACGCCACTGCAGCCTCCATGCTCCTCAGCTGAGTAACTTATAGTCTTTCTACAGCGATTTATTAGGTTTAAGGCTTTGGGAATGTAATGTTTATGTTACTGTCTATCTCATCCCTGTAGACAAAGCAAAGCTACAGTAGATCTTAGTTCTCAAGTGGTGAGTGGTGGCCCAAGGTAGGTCACAAATCATATTTACCAGAATTGTAGCCAAAATGATCTTTTGAAGTCAAACATATTTTCATTGGATTTTGATCAACTTGAGTAAGACTGTTTTTGAGAGACATTTTGTTTAGCTTTGGTTGCTAAAAACAGCTGTATGTTTGTCTCCTGTTTGGATCTTTATTTATGCAGTTGGAGGTTTGAATCAAGCAAAGCTTTACATCAGAACTACCATACTTTCTAAAAAGTGGACAGAGCATGCTTATATTACTGTTTACAACAAAGCTATAGTTTAAGCCATGTGGCTCAGCAAGCTATGACAGCCTATAAAATCCTTGAACATCTGACTTTATTTTCACTTTATTTGCCTTGACAGTTTTTTCCCCAGTAAAACATTATAGAAAAGCTGCATACTGTAATTAAACAGCCTACACTGCAAACAGTATAAGCATCTTTAAAATGAGGCATGGTGATTTATATTCACTAATCTACAATTCAAGGTGAAATAACTTTGCATCCATGTATCAAAGACGTTCAAAAAAGAAAAAAAAAAGCTGAACAAGGTCCAAGCTCCAAAATGCGGTTAGTCGGTTAAAAATAGCGTTCCACAATTGTCCAACACATACAGCACTTTACTGAGGTTACCAGTTGTCACTGTCAATGTTTCTGCACTCACCACCAGCCATGCAAGATCCCTAATAGTCTGCTGCATGTACTCATGTCACCACATGTAATTAGCTAAACAACCATGCAAAATCATTAATTCCTGGAAGAGAAGTCAGAAGTCAGTTCCACTTTCTCATGCTGTCTGGTCTCTTTTCATCTATTTGTCTTTTTTTTTCCTTTTAAATGCATTAGCTGCAGCATTCAGTGTAATTTCTGGTACACATTCCTTATTTGTTTAGCAATTACTGGTGAGTGTCAGTGCCTAAAAACCTCAGTGTCTGTCTGATGTTGGATTTAATATCGGACATCAAACATCAAATCTGAAGTTGGATTAATCAATCTGATTCTGAATCAGCTTCTTAGTAATAATTGTCAAATCAAAATACTGATAAGAATTACATATGGACTTGAAAGAGCTACTTAAATTAATACCATTTGTTTGCCTTTATCCTATCACTGTGGAGGTCTAATGTGATTGTAAAATTCTCTGCAAGGATTAATAAAATTGAGTCTGTCTAACTTGACACATGACGCTAAGCAAAAACATCTTTGTCAACTATCATTCCAGTTTTAGACTCTCCTCAAGAGCTAAACCATTCACGGTTTTCCCTTGAGTATACATTCTTGACAGCTGCTGCCTGTAAGAAGCAGAGTGCTTTGTGACCATGTTTGATTTCCACACAGAATCAATGTAAAAACAAAACGCATGCCGACTGCAAGAAAGCTATAGAGCATGGGTGGCCAAACATTTATAGTTCTGGGCCAAATGCAGAAAAATATGTCGAGTCTTAGGGGGAAAAAAGCCTATGTATTTCACACTTTTGTGCTTTTGTAACTTGAGAGACAATAAACCTTCACTGTAAAGTATTTTATCTCTTTTGACTTAAACGCTGTTCTGTTAGAGGTCTTATTAGCATATTATTGTTTTCAGTGTTCTTAGCGTGCCATTTCATTGCTTTGCTTTATAGGATTTCTTATTAAACTTTGTGTGTGTGTGAGAGTTTTTAATAAGCTATTCAGCCTTTTCCAAAATGCATTTGTTGTATTTTGAAGGAATGAGTGAAGGTTAAAACCAGCATTATGTTAAAGTCATGACTTAGAGTCTGTGAATAAAGTCACTATAGATTGTAAGCCTCAGCCAGCTAAAAATCAGTGTACTCTAAATCATTCAGCTTCTCAAGCTATAGCTGACTGCACTAAATACCCTCAAATCCATAAATGCAATGCTTGCATTTGTGTATTTTTGGGCATGTGCTGCTGCAAAGTAGGTGCCAGCCTACACGGTATTTATTAGTGAGAGAGGGCCGGTGCTTCTGCAAAAAAGGAGTGCCCCGGAGAACAGAGCTGACTGCCAAAGTCTACTCATTTGCAATATGACTTGAATGCCTGGCTAACTTGACAAGGGCACATGTGATTTTGTAAATTAAAACAAAAACAGAAGCTCGGATACCTTGTGTGTGATGAGGCAGTAGAGAGTAAGAATGAACAGCAGTCCTCCACAGATAGATGCGATGATGAAACCCAGCTTGTACAGGTCACTGACTGGTTCTCTCTGAGAGGCCTGCACAGAATCTCTGTCATAACTGTCTGTAGGAAAGGACACACGATTTGTGATCTCTGCAGTTGCCGCAGACATCTGAGTGTTTCATCACAAACTAACCAAAAAAATTGAGATTCTCACCTGTAAAGTGTTGTGTGATTGACTCTGTGTATAACTCTGTGTATAACTCTGTGTATAACTCTGTGGTAGAGCCAAAGGTTTCTGTGTATTCATGCTGGCACCTCCAGTCAACCGGTGCATCGCTCGTCGTTACCAGCTCCCAGTAAACCATTAAGACTTCTAAGACCTTCTGTAATGCATCCGAAGGAGACCCTCTGTAGAGCACTTCAAAACTCTCTGGTTTATCCTGAAGCAGATTCGAAGAAACAAGTATTTCATATGTCTTTAAGGTACTGCAGATTCATGTGCTCACACTATTCATATGATTTGTCATCTTCATATGACATTATAAAAGAAACAGGCTGCAAGTTCAGCATTCGGAAACTCACGCTGACCTCAATCTCTTCATTAATCCAAGGCACACATTTCTGAGAATAGATGTTGAGGATGAGCGCCCTCAGGGACTGAACATAGCCATCATTTACTGAACCCCGAATGTATTTGAAGTGGGTCGTAAGGAGCTCCAGTATCCAGGGTAATGCAGCTTTTACAAAGCAACATTTGCTCTGTTGGAAATCAGAACACAAGGTAATAAACACGAAAAGCACAAACCAGTTAATGGAAAACCTAAATCAAAGGTGTTTGGGGAAAAACAGTTGCATAAGGTTATATTACCCACCAAACTCCTCCGTTCTATGAATGTGTAGTTTATTGAACACCCACTTCTTAACTGGTTATCCATCTGCGGAAACAACAATTGCAACATCTCAGCCTGGGCCGTGCAGGGTGATTGCTTTAATGTTGTTTCAACACCTACCAGTTGCCTAACTGTCAGCAGGTGTTCCCTAGTGATGGAGTGTCTGCATGGGCCAGGGACCTCAGCCATAGTCAGAGGGAAGCTCAGGAACATTATCATACACAGACACTTTACCTGCAACTAACACAACCACATAGTGTATTCATGAGAACTACAAAAATCCATTAGAAGTACTATCTGTAGACTAAAAAAACCCACTCAAACAGACAGTCCTTGTAGACAGTGTGAAAAAAAAAACCTAAACTGAATAATACACTCGAAAAAAACAACTAAACCACAACAACATTCTGGGCAGCCTTTCCTTAACATTTCAACATGCATGTACTCCTCACCCTGTAGCAGTCCAATTCAGTGACCCCTCCCAAGTTGTGCTAATCTAAAATTATTTCCAAGAAAAGAATAAGTTCAAAGCAAACCTAAGTTGAATTTCCACCTAATTGAGCTATAAAAATTTAACAGTAGTAATTCTTTCCATCCAAAATATCTACATTCGAAACGTAACAGCAATACTTTCTTTCCAGAAAACACAGTGTTTGTGTTTAACTGCTCTACGCCGTCATCTGGATCTCAGCTCAGATAAAATATCAGGTTTCAGATTGAGTTTGAGAGGAATGCATAGTGATTCCTTGCTGCAACACTACTAGTGACTGATGTTTAAGTAAGTGTGGAGGACTGTGGCGTGGGGGTGGATAACTTGAATTTTTGGTCAAATACTGCCCTCTACCATGGAAGCCTAAGCAGGGAGAACAATGTGCACAGGATCCAACTGTAGCTGATGTATGTCTGCTACCAAGCACCTTTTGGCAACAGTAACAGTCAAATGGGCTCCAGATGGAATTAATGCTTCCACTAAGGATTAAAACATGGTGATAAGCACATGTTCTTCACACTAAAAGCTAAATGATTACACAGAAAGGCATTTCATAGGTACCTCTTTGACTCACTTGGCTCCTAAAGTTTGATGCAGCTTTTGCAATAAATAGTCAAGATAGAGGGAAGTGAATGAAACAATAAAACAAGATTTATTTGTCTCCAGTCAACTTCTGAGATGAATTAAGGCACAAAAGAAAATTCTTTGAAAGCCGCAGAGACAAGAAATAATCTTTTTATATTTGGTTTTCTGTTCCTAATACAATTTTGAGCTGTTGAGTTTAACTCTTACTTGTTTTTCTGGACTACAAAGCACTAAATCAGTGCACATGGCAGGAAAGAATTATTGCCAGGACCAGGAGGAAAAATAAGTTCTGTGCCATCAAAGTTTTAAGTTTGATGCTTTGATGTAAATTTAAAGCAACATGCTGAATAATAATAACAGAGTTACTTTTACAGTAAAGTGGGATGGTACGTTAAAGACTAACATGCCATACTAATAATAGTAACCAGCATAAATACTTAATGATTAAATTAATGTTATTAAATAAAACTATTAATGGGACTGGTACTTGGCAAATGCAGGAGCACATGATGTAAATGTCATCTATCACATGATTCATTTTCTCCATTGTGTCCAAGATATCTCTATGTAGGTCAGCAAACGCATGATCAAGCAGATAACTTCATACAGAGACTAACGCAAGCATTGCGCTCAGTGTACTAGCGGTGTTTTGGAAAAAATTCTGATTAGAGAAATGTTCTCACCTACCTTAGCTTTGCTCTGAATCAGCGTGGACACAAGGATGGTCATCTGGTACGTGTTTGACAATGGAAAACACCAGACTCCTCTGTCAGACACATTGAAGCAAAGAGATCCTTTTCAAAAATTCACCTCCACTCCACCGAAAGGAATCTGTTATTAAGTAAATTTGACACTTCGTCATGTGGCGCTGTTCTTCAAAGCATTGCTTGATGTGTTCCCCCTCTACAGTGTGAGTTCAAACTGAGACTGTTTCAGCTGATGGACAGCCCTTTTAAAGACCTCCCACCTCACTATGTGGGACAAGATACACATTCCTGAGTCTGAAGACCAATGTTTTGGGGACTATAGATCAATTGACATTTCTTAACAATTTCATTTTTTTGTATTTTAACATATCTGACTAAAACATTACATGTAAATATTAAAACTAAACGGGCAAAGAAAATTCTGTGAGCTTGAGGTGCATACTAACATCTGTTCTTGTCGAAATGCTTGAAGCGGGTTGAAAAGTGATCATAGTTTTTCCTCGGGAAATACAGGCTGTGAGTGAGTGGACCCAACCGAGCAAATGCAAGCAAAGAAAAACAAGATGTTCTGAGCACTCAAGGAGAATTTTTCTGACGATCATTTGGGGCAGAGGTTGTCAGAAGCAGGTGATGTTTCATGCTGCTTGAGGAATCCAAAACTCCTTTTTAAAATAACGTCACATTTTTCCAAGCCCGAACCTAAACCAAGGGAGAAGCACATTCACATAAATGCTTTTATGAGCTCTATTTTGAAGGGAAAACGAGGAAGAAAGGGAGAAGAAAAAAGAGTGGTTCGAAATTCAATGCCACGGGAAGATTTTACATTTTTCTCACATTCTTACATCTAATGTCATAAACGCCTTCCTCTTCCTGCTATCAGCCTGAGAAATGTACTGTCACTTTATACAATTCAATCAGCATTGGAAAGAAACCATTTAAATTAAGAGACGCCCTCCCCATCGTCTTGGAGGTGGCCCTAGCCAGAGTTATTATAGTTTTGTATTTTTCCAATAGTTTTTATTTTTTTTTATTAAATTTTGACTTTCAGCTTTTCAGATTAGTTTCAGTTAGTTTCCAGATTTTCTTGTTTCAGTTTAATTTTTATTGTTTAAAAATGTTTAGTCTAAATCATGTTAGCTTCAGTTTTAGTGTTTTATAATTATTATGTACGGAGAGCATATGCCAGAGGCAAAATTCTGGAAAAACAGTACACGTATTGGAAGTGAGGAAGCCACTCACTTATAGACAACCAGAGTCTCAGCAGAAACGTCCACCAAAGCCTCAGCAGGCAAGTAGTAAAATCCTTTTTACCAAATTAACAAATATTAAAACTGAGATAGCTTGAGCTACCCAATAAAGGTTCATTCACTGTCCTCAGACCAATCAAGTTTGCCAATTGTGAATTCACACCCCATGGTTATGTTGTCAGCCCTCTTCTGTAATAATCTAAACTGTGGTGTGTTAAAGCACAGCAGGCCAGACAGTCTTCACTCACCACCAGCCAACTTGCTATATTTTCCTCACTCAAATTTAATCTGCTTCCCGAACATTAAAATCAAATTGAAGGTTGAAGCTGTTTTGACTTACTGGAAAAGATCCAGCATGCATTGCCAAGGCACGAGTACAAGGGGACAAAACAGGACCTCTGTGGAGCGATCTACAGATTTTAAGTCAAGGGTTTGAAAAAAAAGAAAAATTGGGCCAGTTCCCAGAACTGTTGGGCGCTGGGGGTGGATACTTTAATCTTTATTGACTTAGTTATGGTTGATCTTGGAAGAATGCAGTATAAGTCCCAGTTTTCTTTGGTATGGTTTTTTGAATGATTATGGCTACATTATGCTTTACATGAGCTACTCTTTGTAGGCTGAAGTGGCTGATATACAGGAGGCCAAACAAGACGTTTTTCATTTCAAAATATGGCATTGTCTCTAGAGTAGGGCTTTCATGATACTAGAATTTCAAAGGTGATACCAATCTCCAGGAAATCCTCAATACTTAATGCTATGTTCAATATCACAGGAGGAAAAATGAGTAAAATAAGATGTGCATATTTTAAAAAAGAAAAAGAGAAAAAAGAACAGAATAACACTGCTATGTGCAAATGTATACCACTACAGCCCTATTTACTTCCTATGCTTCCAGCAAATTCGGACCATATTGCATTGCTTAGCAAATGGAGTTGAAAGGGTAGGTTTCTTTCTCAGATTCAGTCTGGGAGTTCAAGAGGAACACAACACCACTGTTGGCACAGAGTATTTGAACTTGACAGGCAAACAACTTTGATGGGTTGGGCATTTGGGTCAAGTCACTTTACTATTCTGCAAAAAATAAAATAAAAAATACAAACAAAAGTAAAAAAAAGAGTGCATCCATGCCGTCATTTGAAATTTTTAGGAAAGTCCATGCTTTAAAACTACACCACATGGATTAGAGTATCTTCACATTACACCTACTGGAGTGGCTTCACCATGAAGCTCCCAGCACACAGATTTTGAGCTGATGTTAATGCCGGAGGACGTTTGAGCCTTAGAAGTTACCGAGTTAGAAGAGGGCTGGCGACTTTTAATCAACGTGCACCTCAGCAGTCTCTGCTGCTCTGTCACTTTGCTTGATCAACCACTTCTTAGCTGAGTTGTTATTGTTCCTAAATGCTTCCTCTCTGCCACAAAGAATTGATTGTGGAATATCTCAATAATTATTTCTTGCTTGGGCTACAGTAACTAATTAGCATTGGGGTTTTTTTTTTAATCTTTTCTCCTAACTTAATGTAACATAAGTTAGTTGTGTTTTTATGATGTGCCTGAACCCCCAAGACTTGTCCATAATGCTGGTGCTTAATAAAAAAATTTTAGACATAAATAATTATGTTATCCTGTTAAATTAATACCTCCTACAGTTTTATTATTGTTATCTAGCTGCTTTGTTTATGATATCTTAACAGACAGCTAATGTGGCCAAAACTGCCAGAAGGTAATTGCTAAGAGTTTAACGGCTATTTTTAATGTGCACTGGCCAGGTTAATGTTTATGATAAATGCTTAATGCTCAATGTTGAAAAAGAAGCCTTATTGGCCTCTTGAAATTCTTCATAAAACCCAGGGGTTCTTTAAGATTCTTGGCTAGTGTTGTTGCACTACTGTTCCTGTGTTTGGCTGCTAGTGGGGGGAGGGGCTTTGCACTTGCCTATCTGAAGTAGTACTGTGTGAAGTAGAGCTGTGCAATGCTACAAACTGCAAACTGCTTATACCAGTAATGATACTTTTAAAGTATAAAGGCAGTTTATACATGAAATAGCAGTGTGTCATTATTTATGACGTAAATCATCATCAGTTTTAAGACCATTAAAGACCACTAAAAACATTTCAAAATAATTTGATTTTCAACCAAAGGAGGTGAACACAGCACAACTGGTATTGATACTGTTGCAAATGAGTGTCTAATCTGATGGTCTGTATGAGTATCTTTTCTTTTTCTGGCAACCCTACTGTCTAGAGAGCATTTCCAGAAGGTTGCCAGTTTTTGGTTGGCCTGTAGTTCTGACCAAAAATGAGTCTCAAGAACTTCAGTTAGTCCCATAGTCCATGGTTTAGATTTTTATGCAAGATTTTCCATTGGTTTTCTTTTTGGTTGGCTAGTGAGGCTTGTTTTAGAGAAACCTTTGGGTATGTTATTTCAGTTTAGTGCTCATGTATTAACTCCAGTTTGTTTTGGTTGCTGGAATTTTGGCAAAACAGACTGTGGTTTGTTTTCCAACTGCAGGCAGTGTGGTTTTTGAGTTGTAATGAAGAAACAACTTTTTGATTTGTTGTAGTGGTGGGCGGATGTCAGAGATTGAACTCCTTTCCAGCCTATAAAAGCTGTACCATGTGTTCACTTGGCCTCCCTCTTCCACTCTTCCACCCACCAAATGTTTTTGTTAATTTATTTTCATAAAATTCTATTTAATCTATTTCAGTGACTTTCCTCTTGTGCTTATCTTGAATCACTTTGTGTTAAAGGGTACATTGCTTTTTGCAGCACCGGGAAACTTTTGTTGCTAAACAAACTGGGACTAACCATGTAAACACCAAACACTGATTACCCACAATGCTAAAACCAAGACTTAAGGGAAGTCTCACCTGTTGGAACGTGGACGCTGGTTCTCTATAGTGTTGTCCTGTGGGTAGTAGTGTCCAGATACTGGGAGGTGGTAGCAGATGCTTGCAGATATGAGCTTAGTGCATCTGGCTTGTTCTGGTGCACATAGCAGTAGCTCAGATCTGGGGAGCTTGGCCATAGCGTCTAACCTCTTTGCCCAGCTCGTGAGAAGCATCTTTTTTTTCCAGTGTGGCTGCATTCTGCTAGGGAGGAGGCTGAAAAGGGCAGGTCTGGTCAGCAATAACATTTCATTAGCTGGGAAGGAGCAAGACATTGCACAACACTATCCATATTGTCAACATCAATAGTTTTTTTTTTATGAGAGTTGTTTGGTGTATGGTAAATATAAAATATGGAGGATCCTGCATGAAAAAATACAACAGTAGAATTACGAAGGTTATACCATATGTAATTTATTTAATTTTTTTCCTTTTCTTAAATGCACACCAGGATGAAACTTCAAGGGTGGGTTGGGTTATTGTCAATTCTAAAATTACATCAATAATTACTGCACCAGCTGCAGACATTTCTTAAATTTAAAAGGCTCACTTTGAACTGATATTCCCTTCTGGAACACAAACTCCCACTGCTGAAAAGAAAAGATGATGTCTTAAACAAATTCCAGTGTGTAAGGGTAATCACCCATCACTTAATTTAAGCTATAACAGGATTCTCTGACCTTTTGAAAATGCTTATTGGTTAATTGTACACAACTAGATGAAGGGAAGCAGCTATCCCAGCTCTGTTGGTTACAAATTCTGCACATAACCACCGGAGTCTAACATTTCATGGTTTTGCTTTTCTGCAGATAATAAGATGGCACTAAATACTAATGTCCCAACTAATGTACTTTAAAAGTCGTGCGAGGGAGACTTGGTTAGTTCTTGAAAGAAAATGTGTCTTAAAAGAGCTTGAATTAGCTTAAAAGTACAGATGTATAAACTACTGTCTTTTAGTTTAATGTGTACATTTTAATTTGTGATAAACTGTTTTTCAAATGTTTATTGTATCACATTAGACAAAACTATTAATGTTACTAATACCAAAGACCTGTCTTCATTTTGAAAGTTCAAAAAAACATTGCGTAACAGTAAATGGCCATAGCA